AAAAAGAAAAAAGAAAGAAAGAAAAAGAAAAAGGGGGAGTTCAAGCAAAACAAAGAAATCATCTGACAAGGTATGAATCAGAAACATAAAATTTTTCAGCAAGCATTCTTACCTTTTCAAAGAATGCCAAAGTCTGCTGCACATCCTCATCGACAGGAATGGAGAGGTGGGTCATCATACGCCGAGCATTTTTTCCAATAAATTCAGAATCAAGACTGCCAGAAAACATAATTTCCTTCACATACTTAACCTGCGAAGAAAAAAAAAAAATCAGAAATTTGCAACGACATGTACATAAAAACAGACACTTTAAGGAGAAAAGAACAAAAAGTGACAGATTGTCAGAGACCTTGTGAACAAGGAGGGGTAGCACATTGGAGCCAGAAGAAGAGAGATAACGAGCCAAGCGAGTGGCAGAGGAGAGAGGAAGTCCTTCGCTCTCCAGGAAAGGGAGAATACCATTGTCCCCTTTCTGCTTTGCCATCTGATACACTCTGTTTTTAAATTGTACAGGCGCTTGACCACCAGGACCTGCGTCAGCGGACCACGAGTTCCAGTCGTCAAGGTCTTGGACGCCGTCGATCAGCATCTTCAAATAGTTGGGGCAGCCAAAGCTAATGCGAGACGCGTCCTCCCTCGAAGCCCCAAGCTGTTCCAGATACTCTCTGATGGCTTCTCTCACTTCTTCTAAGCCATTGCCGTCGTCTGTTTGTTGCTGAGCCTCAGAATCGAGGCTCTGAAAGGTCGAGGCCGTGTAGCTACAATTGTTTCCTTTTCTAGGCAGAGAAATCATGAAAATCGGAACGGAGACGGAGATGGGGGTTTTGGTAGGGTTTTGGGGTGGAATTGGGGATATGAACAGTTGGGGTCTGAGAGAAGGGCAGCACTTCGGAGCAGGGATGACGTGTGGGTGGAGATGATGATAATGGTGAGAGAGCAGGCTCGGAGCCGCCATGAAAGCCGGCGGAGTTCTGAAGTTTCAACTTATTATTATAAAAAATGAAAAAGAAAATTACTATTTCTAAGAATGAAAAAGGGAAAAGGAAATTGGGACAAGTGATCATTTTTTATTATTATTATTATTATTATTTTTTTTTGGGTAAAAACATATAAGAAATCAATGTAATACTAAAGCAAGAAATAACAACTCCCTATATATAATTCCCAAATGCGCTGAGCCTACATGGCTGTTTCTGGTGTTTCAGAATCTTACTTGGCGAAGAATCATGCTTCGTAATTAGGTTTGGACAAATAATATTGATATATTAATAATTAATAATCCAGATTCGGACATTCCATAAATATTATTCATCTAACTATTTTAATATCACTTGTACTAATATAACCATTTAATTCCTTGGATATAAAAAATTTTGGATTTGTTTGGATTTTTTGGTTTGGTTTGGTTAATTTTGAAAAAAGGTTGTATGGTTAGTTGTTAGTGGTATATTAAAATAATATTTAAAATATAATAATTAAAGTTGATTTGATATAAAAGTATGAGAGATATAATTTGAAGTGATGGTTAGTTAAATTATGTGAGTGGATGAATAGTGAATTAAGGTTGATATGATGTGTATAAATGATTGGTTGATAAAATTTAATTATAGTAAAATATTGATGATAGTGGGGTTGGGTTAAAGTTGAGTTAAAAAAGTGGCTGAGTTAAAAATGATTGGATTTTTTTGAGATAATTTTGTATCCAAGCAATATATCACTAACTTTTAATTTGTTTCCTTCAATTAGCTATTGAATTGTAAATGTATTTTAAAAGATGATAAATTTTGTATTTCTTATCGGTTTTACATATATAATATATCAAATTAATCATCTTTTGATGATCTTCGATTTGGCATCTATATTGTATATATTGAAATAAATAAACTATATTTATATTTATAATAATAAAATATAATTACATTTATTAAAAGTCATTAGAAAAATAAAATTATTTCTCAATTGATATATTTATGTTTAATGTTGTTATATGTTGTAAGTTAAAAAAATTATTATAATATAAAACAGGTAAGTCGCACAAATAAAAAGTGGCATACTAAATATATAATAATATATATTTTTATAAAAGATATTTAAATTTTTAACTATTATTTCTCAATTGATCACCAGGCAGCCTTTCTTGAGGGCATAATGCTTACTGATAATGTGATTATAGCCCAAGAGGCTTTCCACTTCCTTAATAGACACTCTTTTGGCTCTAATTTCTTTATGGCGCTCAAACTGGACCTAATAAAAGCCTTTGACCGAGTGGAATGGCTCTGCATTAAGAAAATCATGCTGCAAATGGGTTTCCACAGTGACTTTGTTAAAATGATCATGCTCTGTGTTTCATCACCTTCATTTTCCTTTAAAATCAATGGTCAGATTAGTGGCTATGTCTCTCCTTCTAGGGGTATAAGGCAGGGGGACCCTCTCTCCCCCTACCTTTTTCTCATTGTGGTTGAATTACTCACTGCACTCATTCTCAACTCTATCTCCACTGGACATCTGAAAGGCCTGAGACTGTCAAGGAATGGGCCATTGCTATCTCATATTTTATTTGCTGATGATTCTTTGTTTTTCCTTAAGGCTGGAGTTGATCAAGCAGGTTTTCTCATGAATATCTTGGAAAAATATAGACTGTTTACAGGTCAAGCTGTGAACTTTCAAAAATCAGCTGTTTTTTTTCAGCAGAAACACTCCATGCCACCTTCAGAGGTCTATTTGCTGCTCTCTTAGCAATATGACTGCCCACAAGTCCACAAGATATTTGGGTTTGCCCCTGGGAATAGGCAGATCTAAGAAGGAAGTTTTTGAATACCTGTTACACTCAGTCAGAGCCAAACTCTCTTCTTGGAAGGCTCAGATGCTTAGCCCAGCTGGAAAGGAAGTACTCCTAAAAGCAGTCATTGAAGCACTTCCTGTGTGTACAATGGCTTGCTTTTCTCTTCCAATTTCAATATGCTCTGAAATCACAAAGTTATGTGCTAGCTTCTGGTGGAAATCAGGCAATGATCAAGCTAGAGGTATCTTCTGGAAAAAAATGGAGTCTCCTCACACTCCCCAAGGAATTTGGAGGCTTGGCCTTTCATGATCTGCAACTTTTTAACAAGGCTCTCATTTGCAAACAGCTTTGGAGGATTGCCTC